GCATAATTGTACCAGACAGGGATGCTCCCTGTCCCCTTTACTGTTTGTTCTGTCTCTGGAACCATTTTTGGAGAGGGAAAGGAAATGTATTGATATAAAGGGGATAAAACTAGGAGAAAGAGAGCATAAAGTATATGTTATTTTTTATCACTAATCCCAGAACCACTGCCCAATTTATTGAAAGCATTAAAACAGTATGGAGAGATGTCAAACTTGAAAATAAACCCAGTAAAATCAGACATTTTAAATATTAACCTTTCAATGCTAGAGAAGACGAGTTTACAAAAGGAATTCCCATTCACTTGGAAGAGAATTGAAATAGGTTACTTGGAATAAAATTGACCTTTTTAAAAAATTTCTACAAAGCAAATTATATCCCGTTAATAAATGAAATTAAGGAAGAATTGAGAAGACGATCAAAAGGAGGAGCCTCATTGATTGGACGAATAAATCTGGTTAAGATGGTGATACTTCCGAAAATTTTGTATAAATTCCACATGCTGCCAATCGCCCTACCAGGGTTTTTTTTTGGGATAATTAAAAAGGTGATTATTACATTTATTTGGGCTAATAAGAAACCAAGAATTAGCTATGAGGTTCTAAGCAGAGCAAAAGGAAATGGAGGCTTTGGATTACCTAATGTGAGGTTGTATTACACAGCTGTTGTTTTATCACGAGTGGTGGATTGGACATTCAACTCACAGGGGAAGGGATGGGTGAATATGGAAGGGGCATCATGCAAATCACAGTTAGAGAAGAGTATATGGATCCCACACAGGTTTTGCACATTTGATGTAGATATTAGCTCACTGACGAAGATAGTTTTGGGTACGCGGGATAGAATACACAGTCAAAAAAAAATGGGAATTTAATTCACGGAGGATTCCATTAGCGGGAACTGAGTTTTTCCCCCAGGGAAGGATAATATTAGTGGGAACTGGATAAACGATAAGAATGCAGGTTTGAAAGACATTATAAAAGACGGGAAATTGCATGCGTTTCAAGATTTAAAAAAGAAAGATTTATTTGGCATGTTGGATAATTGGAGGTATTACCAGCTAAACCATTTTGTAGCGAGCCTCCCACAACCGCTTAGGACAATGGAAGAAATGTACCCATTTGAAAAATGATTAAATGGAGACAAGATCCCAAAACATGTTACCTCAAAAGTATATAAGATCCTCATGGAAATGGAAGGAGGTGATCCTCCCGGGTATATGGGGAAGTGGGAGAGGGAATTGGGAGTAGAAATTAATCAACAGCAAAGGAATATGGTTTTTAAAATGACTCATAAGGCGATAAACATGCGTACAGCAGAAATGAACTATAAATGTATGGCTAGATGGTATATAACACCAAGGGTAGCCCATAAGCAGCAAGTAGAGATATCCCCATTGTATTGTAGAGGTTGTGGAGAAGGAGGTACAATGGCACATATATGGTGGAGTTGCCCAAAAATACAGAACTATTGGAAGGAAATAATCCAATTGACCCAGGAAATATGTAAAATAACCTTGCAGAGAGACCAATGGAAGTGTTTATTTTATTATTTCGAACCCTCATTGAAATTACATAAAAAGAAATTATTGTATCATATATTAAGTGCGGCAAAGGGTTTAATTCCTAAGTACTGGCAGGTGACTGAAGCACCAAAAATTGGGGATTGGATAGAAAGAGTGGATGACATTTTTAGAATGGAGGAATTATATCATTTGGAAGAGGATAAAATAGAAAAGTTTGGGAAAATATGGAATAGTTGGATTAAATTTAAAACCTCGGAAATATACATAGAATTGACAAGAGCAAAGGGGGATTTTAGAAACCTGTAAAGAATTATTATGGTAAATCTATGAGAAAGATGAATTTAGTATAGAGATATAGGCATGAGAGGAAAACTAGAATGGGGGGCAGGATGTGGACGGAGGGAAAATATGGGGTTATTGGAATATGTATGTAATATTTATACAATTGATGATTTCCTTATTTTGTACAAAAATCAAATAAAAACTTAAATTATAAAAATTAAAAAAAATAAAAAATCCCACACATTCAAAGTCCAGTGATGTACCAGGACATCGCTGATCCTTATTGGTTATATATGCTATGTTATTTTTTTTTTTTGTATGCAGCCTGTGGGCTGAATGAAAAAAAGAGAAGAAATCTGTCAGAAAAAGTGTGGGGTATGCCCACCATTAGAATATACCACCCTGCATCCACCCACTTCTAATGGTGGGCACACATTAGGTCACACTTTGCCACATGCGCCAGTTCCAAGATTGTACAAATGTCTAAATAGTGGCACGCTTGAATAAAAATTGTTCAACACGTATAAGTGGTACCCCATATGGAAAAAGGATGACGCCAAGTCCCAAACTATCTTGCCACTGCTCCCCATGTAGTCTGGGCATCTGGTGGTCTCCACGTGACTATCTTTTCCCTCGTAAAAAACGAAACTTATAAGTATAGACTGTTGCCCTCTCACAGGTCTTCTACATCTTGACCCCATATCTGGCACGCTTGCTGGGGAGAAATTGTTTGAATGCAAGGTGGCCAGAAAAATTAATCAGGGACTCATCAACGCAGATTTTTTGCTGAAGAGTATAGACATCTGTAAATTTTTGGTTAAGGTGATTTACGAGGGGCTGAATTTTGTGGAGCCAATCAAATTCAGGGTCACCTCAAGGGCGACAGAGTGTATTGAGTGAAATGCATAAAACACATTATACTCTCCTATCTATGCCTGGCTATGGCAGCAGAGAACACGGGCATATGATGAATCGGGTCTGTGGACCAATACAATCGCAATTAATTTTTTTTTGTAATGCCCATGTTGAGGGTTAGGCCCAAAAAAAAATGTAAATTCGAAAACCGTAATGAGTTTCCATGCGACTGGTCTGGAAAGGTTTGAATTGGGGTTGGCGGCGATAAATTGTTGTGCATATAAATTGCTTTGATCCACAATCAACAGATATTCCGTGAAAAACAGCTCAAAAAATCAAGGGGAGGAGTTAAATTTGCTATTTCCATCTGAATTCCGGGTTGGGCAGTGAATGGGGGAAGAGGGGTGCTGCAGAATTTGTGGTCTGTCTATCGGGATTTGCAAGCACATCCGTAAGGATACTAGGGGCTCTACAGGCCTGTGTGCAAATTCTTGGAGATTGCGGGACAATACTTGTGCTCGCCACCGCAGCAGCTTGTACTGCACTTATGGGACTCACCACGTCGCCAAGTCATACTGCAGTGCTGGTATTATTATTATACAGTATTTATATAGCGCCAACAGTTTGCTCAGCGCTACAATATACTGGGAGACAATACAGAACAATACAGTTCAATACAAGAGTGTTAGGAGGGCCTGATCCTGGGAGCTTACAATCTAAGAGATATGTGAAAGACCAGGATGTACTAGCCCACTAGTACTCACCAGTTCACCAAAAGGTAGCGTGGCACTAGTACTGGCACTCTGCTGCATATGAGAGTCATCAAAATTTACTGACAAGTGCTAACAGAGATCAGGCCTGATTCTGCCAACACTGCGGTTTTGTTGGCAATGTATCAAGTGACAGTCACCTACTGACACTGCACTTGCTGGGGGAGAAGGGGGGGGGGGGGGTAAGCGTAGGGGCTAAACGCAGGTGCTGGCAGGTGCCAGGACTGATCCCACTAACGCTGCGTTTTTGGGGACACTATACTAATGTGAACGCTGGTATACTGCTGATCTGATCAAAGATATTGATCCGTTCAGACACTATACTAGCAATGGAGGTTTATTGTGCATGAGCGTGTTCCTGGCAATCAAGGGGTTAAATGTGATGACTGGTGTACTGACGGGCAATCTGACGCTATCTAGGAGGGGCGTGAACACCGCGAGAGCGAGAATCACTTATATATGTGATTTTGTGCACCCATGCCGCCCTGTAGCAGTATTTCTGCTATAGGGCGGTCAGGAAACGGTTACAGAAGTGGTTTGTGTTACGTCGCTCATTACTTTAACTGACAATTGCGCGGTCATGCAACATTGCACCCAAATTAAATTTACATCTTTTTTTTTCCCCCACAAATTGAGCTTTCTTTCGGTGGTATTTGATCGCCTGTGCGTTTTTTATTTTTTGCACTATAAAAAAAAAAAAGGCTGACAATTTTGAGAAAAAAAACATTTTGGACTTTTTGCTATAAAAAACATGTCCAGTGAAAAAATTTAAAAATCAAATATTTCGTCATAAATTTCGGCCAAAATGTATTCTGCGACGTCTTAGCTAAAAAAATCCCAATACGTGTAAATTAATTGGTTTACGTGAAAGGTATAGCGTTTACAAAATGGCGGTATAGATACTGGATTTAAAAAATTTTTTATACTAATGGCGGCGATCAGCGACTTATGACGCTGATCAGCGACTTATGGCGGGACTGCGGCGTACATTCTGACACTGGGGGGGAACTGATTTGGGGTCACTGACATCCCCAGTGACACCAATACAGTGATCACAATGCAAAAAAAAAAAACAACACTGACACTGTACTAATGGCACTGGGGAGGAAGGGGTTAACTTTTTTTAGGCAAGCAAGGGTTAACTGTGAGGGGAGTGTTTTACTAGTGGGCAGGGGGTATGTACTTCACTGTTGCAGGCTGTTCCGGAAAGCTAATCTCTGCTCCGGGACAGTGAGCTGGGAACTGACAGGGAGCAGAGCTGCATTGAAAACAATGCAGCTGTGCTCTGTGTCACGGTTTGCCGGCAATCGCCGGGACCCGGCGGGTAATGACCAACCGGGACCCGTGATTGACACCCGCAGCTGTGATCGGCGGCGCAGATAGGGCGGTCGCGCGCCCCCTACCTGACATGCAAAATTACGTTTATAAACGTGATTTTGCACAGCGGTGCCGCCCTGCCGCAGTATATGTACTGTGGCTGGTCGGCAACCGGTTAATAAACAGAACAGACTAAACACAGAATGTGTATTGCTTTATAAAACACGCAAGTTTATTGCAGGTTTATACTCACTTTATAGATCACACTTGGCTCAAAAGAACAGACGATGCTGCTGTTATACAGGTTGGGAAAGTCCACATACAGCTGCCTGAGGGCTTCAGCAGCCTAGGGAACAAAAAAAACGTGCATTGATTTCTGCCTACTTTGTCACTCTGTAATGTACACTACTGGCAAACATTTCATGACCATATGCTGTAGAGGGAAAGGTAAATATGTTGCATTTTAGGTCCATTCACATCTGTACTTCTTTTGTATTTCTGGTTCTGTTGGTTTACAACTTCCACTCCTTTGGTATTAAAAATCTACCAAACCGTATACATAGCTGCTTAGGGGCAGACCTGGAACTTCAAAACAGAGGCTTTAAAATGTAATACGTAAATTTTTATTTTTGACAAAAGGGTCACAATCAATAGAGAAGCGGTACCAAACATCTTTTAGAGGCCCGAAAAAAAACCCTTCATCGGGGCCTGGACTTAGTAGTTATTCCCAAATGGACTTACAGTATGATCTTCTAGAAAGAGATCTTAATTCAGAAACAAGCAAATGCAATAGCTCAAAATGGCACTGTTCTGCTTCAGTTTAGATACATATGCCAAGGAACAGTTAGGACATCAGTAGGACCCACTCAATTTTCGGCTGAACCCGTTATATGAAGCTCTGCATATCACTAACTCATTCATTATGCTCATTTAAGACGGATGGTAGCTGTTAAGTGCTTTGTATGAATATGTGTGTGGCCCGGGTCTGATTATAAGGAGATAACGTTATCTTACCTTATGTTAAAGTGAAAGGAGGATTCTGGCCTACTGGCCTTATTACCTAATTGTGATCTCAATAAAGTTGTTAATTTCATTTACACCGCTGTTGGTTCTCTTTTAAAACCTCTTTTTTGAGGGGGTCCTACTGATCTCCTGTTATTTGGCTCTGTCTTGGTTTTGAGGACCCCACTATAGAATTTAAGGCGAGTCTGTGATTTAATCAGCAATCTGTGATCGGACTTCCCATTGAGGGAGAGGTAACTTTGTTGAAATTGTTTTTATTACCTTGTAGATACATATGCCCCCTAATCTTTTGTATGCAGAGACATACACTATATTGCCAAAAGTATTGGGACCCTGCCTTAACACACTCATGAACTTTAATGGCATCCCAGTCTTAGTCCATAGGGTTCAATATTGAGTTGGCCCACCCTTGGCAGCTATAACAGCTTCAACTCTTCTGGGAAGGCTGTCCACAAGGTTTAGGAGTGCGTCTATGAGAACGTTTGACCATTCTTCCAGAAGTCCATTTGTGAGGTCAGGCACTGATGTCGGACGAGAAGGCCTGGCTTGCAGTCTCAGCTCTAATTCATCCCAAAGGTGTTCTATTGGGTTGAGGTCAGGACTTTGTACAGGCCAGACACGTTCCTCCACCCCAAACTCACTCAGTCATGTCTTTATGGATCTTGCTTGGTGCGCAGTCATGTTAGAAAAGGAAGGGGCCATCCCCAAACTGTTCCCACAAAGTTGGGACCATGAAATTGTCCAAAAAGTATTGGTATGCTGCTGCATTAAGAGTTGCCTTCACTGGAACTAAGGGGCCAAGCCCAACCCCTGCCAAACAATCCCACACCATAATCCTCCCTCCACCAAAACTTTACACATTTGGCACAATACAGTCAGACAAGTACTGTTCTCCTGGGACCGGCAAACCCAGACACGTCCATCAGACTGCCAGAGAGAAAAGTATGATTCATCACTACAGGGAAAATGTCTCCTCTGCTCTGAGTGGTGTCACACTTTACATCACTGCATCCGACGCTTTGCATGGCACTTGGTAATGCAGCTGCTCGGCCATGGAAACCCATTCCATGAAGCTCTCTACGCACTGTTGTTGTGCTAATATGAAGGCCACACGAAGTTTGGAGGTCTTTAGCAATTGATTCTTCAGACAGTTGGCGACTTCTGCGCACTGTACGCTTCAGCATGCGCCGACCCCCCCTGTCATTTTATGTGGCCTACTACTACGTGGCAGAGTTGCTGTTGTTCCCAGTTGCTTCCACTTTGTTATAATACCAATAACAGTTGACCAAAATTTCACGGATGGACTTATTGCACAGGTGGCAACCTAACACGGTACCACACTTGAATTCACAGAACTTCTGAGACCATTCTTTCACAAATGTTTGTAGAAACAGTCTGCATGCCTAGGTGCTTGATTTTATATAGCTGTGGTCATGCAGGTGATTGGAACACCTGAGTCCAATGATTTGGAGGGGTGTCCCAATACTTTTGGCAATACAGTGTATGTCTATATATATAATATAATGTTTAATCTTCAAGGCTGCCAAAACACCGACTACTATGAAGGCCACAGAAGATTACAACATATGATTCAACAGAGAACATCTCTTGTGAATATTGACTGGACATATGGTGATTTTCAAGCCAAATGTAAAAATGTAAGCTGAACTCAGAGAAAAAGTAAAAGTCCTTCCTTGCAGTATGACTACACCTGCACTGAAAGGGTTAACCACTCATTCATGTCTAGGGAACAGAGTAAAGCAGTTCTACTTACCTGATCTTCTGCTCCCACAGGCTCTTGTCCTCTGCACTCAAGCAGTCAGATGCCCCGATGCCATCAAGAATAAACACAGGTTCCACAACTCTGCACTGGATGTGAGGACGCAGAGAGAAAGTCCACTGTCAGAATGTAGGGGAGTGTTATTTGCCAGTTAAAAGTGCTTTTATTGTCCTCTAGACATAAACAAGCAGTTAACTCTTGCAGTGTGGGCACAGCCCCAGTGCAAGGGGGAAAGTTTAAGTTTCCTAGAGTTGGGCTTCATGATGGCCATGATTACAGCCTTTGAGATCAGTTATTGGATACGTGTAAAGAGAGACTAGAAGAAATTCACCTTTAAAGCATAGCTCCAGTCGAAATTTAAACAAAAAAAAAGTCATCAGCTACAATAACTATAGCTGCTGACTTTTAAAACACAGACACTCACCTGTCCCTTGATCCCGGGGTGTCCTCACACCGGTGGGGTTCACCGGCATCTTCAGTGTGGTCAACCAGCTGTGACAGCTTGCAGCTTCACAGCCAGGGGCCCACTGCACATGCAAGAGTAGTCTTCTGGGACCGGTCATGCGTTCCAGAAGACTTTTGGAGGGGGGGGGGTGGCGGGGGACTACTTCCACTTCCGATCGCAATCACAGCGGTGGTGGGAGCGGGTACCTGTCAAATTTCCCCCTGCTCCCCAAAAGGAACCAATCCTTAACAGGGAGCCGGGGATGAAGCCTTAAAGCAACACGTGTGCATTTTTCATGCATTTTCAATGCATTTCAGGCCTGGTTCACACCAATGCAGTGCAGTTTGCATTTTGTCCGTTTCGCAGCACGTTTTGCTTTTTGCATGCGCATTTTTGACGCATTTTGCCTTATTTTTTTTTACCCATCTTGTTGCTGGGGAGATTAAAATGTAAAACACATCAAAAATGTGTCAAACGTGTCAAAAACGCACTATATGCATTTTCTGCAGCGCCTCCATTGAAGTCTTTTAAACCGTAAATGCAACGTTTTTCATTTAAAAAAAGTTCCTGACCTTTTCCAAAAATGGTGTGAACCAGTCCTCAATGGGGAAGTGCGTTTTTGGTACATTTTTTTTTTTTAGCTCGCCAAATATGCACCACAAATGCGCCAAGCAGGATTTTTTTTAACACCGAAAAGGAAGCACAATGGACCAGTGTGAAAACATACATTGTATTTAAAGGGATACATTTTTCTTGAGCTTTTCTTGCGTTTTTTTTTTTTATGCAAAAGTGCTTCAAAAACTGCTCAGTCTGTAACCAGCCTACTGGCCGAAAAGGTGCTGAAAATAAATCCATATTAATTTAAATTGATATTAATTAAAAAGTTAAATATAATACAATATATAAAAAAAAAGCTTGCATTTTGGTTTCAGCCAAATGCATCCTAAATTTTCAGTTTCAGTCCAGAATTTTCATTTTGGTTTACCATTTCTACTAAATAATATTTTACTTTATAAACCGTGTACGATTTTCTGTAAGCCTAGATGCATCACCAATAAGATTGCACCCAAAAAGGTAAAACAACCTCCTTTCCACTGTATCCTTCCACAAGATTTTCAAATACTTTTGAGCGCTTTAAAATATGGGAAGTTCAGCTGTGGTACTTGTGATTTTATGTCACAGAGAGAATCCATTCTCTAACAATAAGGGTAGATGCTTAAACCATGCAATCTGCAAACTCAGAGCGAATTTCAGAAAAAGAAAAAAAAAAAAAAAAAAAAAGGGAAGCATCAGTGTGCCCTACTATTTTCTGAAATGTCACAGTGATCCAAAATGTAATATTCTATCACAGTTTTAAACTTTTTTTGCATGCAAAATCTTCCACGATTTTAATATGAACACATCGTCTCCCCATGGCCTTAAAAAAGATTAAAAATGTCATCCCCTTTAGCTTTTTTTTTTTTTTTTAATGATAGTTTCCTTTACAATATGTCATAGTTTGGTTACATTTCACACTTCAGTTACAAATTGCTATTTTGTTTCCAGTTTTCATTGATACTCCATCTTAAGCACTGGCCATAACAGGTTGGTGGTGACCCCCAGTGCTTTGTTTGGGTTATTACATGCTACGGTTTACAAATATAGTTACTTGGCTGAATGTACAGGTGAAACTCAAAAAATTAGAATATCGTGCAAAAGCTCATTTATTTCAGTACTGCAACTTAAAAGGTGAAACTAATATATGAGATAGACAAGACAGTTCAAGCCGTGATAGTTCAAGCCGTGATTTGTCATAATTGTGATGATTATGGCTTACAGCTCATGAAAACCCCAAATCCACAATCTCACAAAATTAGAATATTGTGAAAAGGTGCAATATTCTAGGCTCTAAGTTGCATTACTGAAATAAATGAATTTTTGCACGATATTCTAATTTTTTGAGATTCACCTGTATATTATTTGTGATTATCTACGTTCAATTTGCAGAACTGAACGTTGATACGATGAATTTGTATATATTTGTGTACGTTTTATACAGTTTAGAAATTGTTGTTTCTAATGTGAACTCATGCAAAAAATTATTTATATTAGGTATAGTATTTTATTTCTCTTGCTGGTGGAGTTTGCCATCCACATGGTCCAATTGCCATTATGTGACAGCTCTGGTTTGTTTTGTGAAGCAGGCTAACTCCAGTTTCCTGACCATTACCTCATTCCTCCAGTCTGTCACTGGAGGTACTTATTGTTCAGGGAACAATCTCAGTACCTGTTTACAGATACCATTCTTGGGAGAGCTGTAGTGCATATTTCTTGGTTTATCCAGTATTTACTCCTGTTCATCCTTGTTTCTGCCTATTCTTTTGCTAGCTGCCTGTAGAGCAACCAGTTTTATGTCCTGATTAAGTCAGCATTTTGTAGTAGGTTAGTAAGGAATGGCCATACATTATACAATTTTCTTGAGAATTTTGGTTTAGATTTACCAAAAACCATATAATAGGAGATCAAACCTAAACAACACTTTCAATTGTATCCAATTAGGAAGGCCCTTGCACTACATAGTTGAAGGTAAATCTAAAAGAAATTGGACAGAAAATTGTATAGTATGGCCAGCCTAAGGCTCTCTTCATACCTAAGCATTCTGGCTTGCAGTCAGTGTGTTGACTATGCATTTTTGATGCATTAGTAATATCCTCAGTTTGCTTTAAACTGCATTAAAGATGCAACAAGCAAGCCTTTTCAAAACACCATATCCACAAGGCATCCAAAATGCACAGACTTGAATAAATCCTAACATGCACCAGGCAATGTTATTTCCTTGCCTCAAACACTGTCGTTTTTGCTGGACACATTAGTCTGCATAAAAATGTAGAGAAAAATATAAAAAAGGGTGTGGAATTAAAAAGGAATGTATATTGTTAAAAGTGTGAACTGTATAGGTTAATCAGTGATCACAATACAATTTTCATGATCATTGTCTTTTTTGCCAATCACATGGCCTTTGTAGGTACACACAGCAAAGGGCATTTGATTGCTTTAAATATCTGTTGGGGAACTCAGCTACAGGCTACCACTACCAAGGTCTGTAAAAGTGACTGGGTGGTATTACAGCCACCCAGTTCACTTCGACAGTAAAGACCAGAGGCTGGAGATGCATTTCTAAATAAGCTTGCAGTTGCAATTGCACTACAGCCTTTATTTAGAAGGTCTTAGATCTGTGTTTAGTATTCTTAAAGTGGAGCTGTTCCTTTAAAAGCTTCTGAAGCTTGCTGTAAGCTTTGCAAATGCTTTGTAAAAGATTACAATATACACTGCTCTCATACAACCTAAAACCCTTGTGAACAAAGCCTTACTCTGCTCTTCCTAACTGCACTTTGTGGTATATTCCTATTAATGTGGTACTATATTTGTATATGTAATTCTTTGGTCACAATGGTGTATATAGCAAAACAGTACCATTTTGCTAGCAAGGACAGTAGCTGCATACATTCGTATGATGAAAAATGATATATTTTGGATGACTTTAACAATCTTGTTTGTGACAAAAGTATAAAATGCAGATACATGAATAGCAAATTCTAACTTTTTTGGTTATGCACATTTTGGACTTATATGTGCCTGTATGTGTTGCTTTAAGAAATGTGGTTTTCTTTTTATTTCCTGACTGGAATAGCAAAATTACAGCTGCAGTTTGACTAGTTGCTACAGAAAACACTCTTTGTTTAGTAACTTCTAATACATTAGAGCACATCTTTGCTGTATGTAGCACTGCATAATCACTCGCAGGGATTCCATTAGGGGGGAGAGACGACAGCCCTCCCATACATGTAGGTTGCCCGGGTATCCAGGGGGGCACAGGTGGCCGGAGGGCAGGGGTGACTGGGTTGGGGAGTCTGTGTGTGTAAAGCTGCCAGAAGAGGGTCTGATTTGGACAATGTGGAGAGCGGCATACCACTCTATCTCTGGCTCCCAAAGCCACTGAAAGCCTAGGATAGTAATAAAGCGAGAGCAGTAAAGGCAGCTTACACTGAAGTCGCTGTAACCACTCCATCTCCCGTCCTGTCATCCTCCTGTCTCCACTGTCCTAGTCCCTCCCTCACTCCTCTGCTTGTCCAATCCAACACCCTATCTCTCATTTGTGTCCAACTAACCCCGTCCATATTCCAGCCACCTGCTTGTAATGCACTGAGAGCAGTTCTGTGGGCAGCCGGGTGGCAGTTTTGAAACAATAGCTGCAAGCTGTCACAGCCCTGGGGAGACCAGCCTGAAGAGGGGAGGCATAATTGGTGAGTGAGCATTTAAACCCAGAACACCCCCCCCCCCCCCCTTTCATTCTCTCCTTCGTTCTCTCTCTCTTTCATTCTCTCCCTTGTTCTCTCTATCTCCCTTGTTCTCTCTTTCATTCTCTCCCTCATTCTCTCTCTCATTCTCTCTCTCTTTCAGTCTCTCCGCCTCATTTTCTCTCTCTCATTTGCTCCCTCCCTCGTTCTCTCGCCCCCTCTTTTGACTGGAGGAGGGCATGGGATAGAGAAGATGGGACTGGAGGAAGAGGACATGGGATGGAGAGGGAGGACATGGGATGGAGAGGGAGGACATGGGATGGAGAGGGAGGACATGGGATGGAGAGGGAGGACATGGGATGGAGTGGGAGGACATGGGATGGAGTGGGAGGACATGGGATGGAGTGGGAGGACATGGGATGGAGTGGGAGGACATGGGATGGAGTGGGAGGACATGGGATGGAGTGGGAGGACATGGGATGGAGTGGGAGGACATGGGATGGAGAGGGAGGACATGGGATGGAGAAGAAGGACATGGGATGAGAGAGATGGGAGGACATGGGATGAAAAAAGATGGGACTGGAGAAGGAGGGCATGGGATGAAAAAGATGGGACTGGAGAAGGAGGGCATGGGATGGAGAAGATGGGACTGGAGGAGGAGGGCAGAGGGCATGGAGGAGGAGGAGGGCATGGGATGGAGGAGATGGGACTGGAGGAGGAGGGCATGGGATGGAGGAGAAGGGACTGGAGGAGGAGGGCATGGGATGGAGGAGAAGGGCATGGGATGGAGGAGGAGGGCATGGGATGGAGGAGATGGGATGGAGGAGATGGGACTGCAGAAGGAGGACATGGGATGGAGGAGGAAGATATGGGATGGAAGAGATTGGACTGGAGGAGGAGGACATGGAATGGAGGCGATGGGACTGGAGGAGGAGGACATGGGGCTGCAGGAGGAGGACATGGGATGGGGGATGATGAGACTGGAGGAGGAGGACATGGGATGGGGGAGAGAGACTGGAGGGGGAGGATATGGGATGGGGAGATGGGACTGGAGGAGGAGGACATGGGATGGGGGAGATGGGACTGGAGGAGGAGGACATGGGATGGGGGAGATGGGACTGGAGGAGGAGGACATGGCATAGGGAAGATGGGACTGGAAGAGGAGATGGGATGGAGGAGAAGGATATGGGATGGAGAAGGAGGACACGAGATGGGGGAGATGGGAATGGAGGAGGACATGGGATAAAGTAGATGGGACTGGAGAAGGACGTGGGATGGAGAAGATGGGACTGGAGGAGGAGGAGATGGAACTAGAAGAGGAGGACATGGGATGGAGGATATATTAAGTTGTAAGTGTGTTAAATTAACAGTGGGTGAACTGAAAGACTCAGTGAGGTGGACAGATTTAGGTGGGGAATGTTAATGGCCAGACACTGGGGGGAATGGGGGGCCCAGGCCTCAAGATGTGTAAGGGGTCCCAAAATTTCTGATGGCTGCCCTGATCATTAGTGCTCAATATACCCACCGAGACCCACCTCTGCTGTCTACCTCTGTCAGATCATGCTGTCATTACCTGAGCGGCATGGCCTTTGACATCAAAGTAAACCACCAGATTGTGATGTATACATTCTTTAACTGCCTCCTTCAGTGTGGAACTTTTTCATCATTATACAGGTGCCTGATAGACAGAAACGATATGAAACATTACATCAATAATGCCAGTTTTAATATAAAAGCAAAGCTACTTTTTATTATAAATTTTGTTTAATTTGCACTGGAAAAACTTGATCCTCTAAATAAAACTTAAAGGGGTTGATGTACTAAAACTGGAGAGTGCAAACTCTGGTGCAGCTCTGCAGAGAAACCAATCAGCTTCCAGGTTGTATTGTCAAACCTTAAAGGTTAAGTTCCCCTTTTAACCAAAAATAATGAATGCAAATAGCTGGTGCCATGCTCGTCTCCTGTAGACCTGTCGGTATATTTGCTTGCCCATACGGGACGTACGAGCAAGCAGATATACTGACAGGAAGATTCAATAAATTACCACGGCGCTGCACAGTGCCATGGTGGTTCATGGAGAACTACAAGCCGCTAAGGCTGTCGGTACTTTTAGTTCATTCATTCACAGAACACAATGAATAAATGATGTAGCTATGTGGGCGAGCTCCGCACGGCCGTGCTATTTTTAACCACCTCCCACGTGGCCAATGTACATAAACAGCCAGGTGGGAGCTTCCCCATTCTGAGTGGACATTCCTGTATGTCCCTCAGAACGGGTGTCTGCGCGCAGCCCCGCAATTCTGTGATGGCTATCACAGATTGGGATATGGGCTCTCTGATTGTCCCTCCCAATCATACGATGGCTGTGGGTGGGGAGTGGGGGATTCTGCAGTCTGTGACAGCTGATGATGCTATTGTTGAGCTACACAGGTCTGCAGTCATCCCACCCCAGTGCACAAAGCACCATTTGCCCCTGTCACAGTGTCTCATAAACATCTGTCAGTGTACCAGTGCACAAAACAAATAAATCATCATTTTAAAAAATGTAAAGCATCCTTGTCCCCCCTTGCTCGGATGCAAAGGCAAACGCACGCATTGGTCTCATACGTAAATGGTGATCGCACTACACGTGAGGTATTGCCGTGAATGTCAATAGAGAGAGCAATAATTGTAGCACCAGACCTCCTCTGTAACTCAGCTTATAACCTGTAAAGGCCTATAAAGCTTCACCTATGGAGATTTTTAAATACCGTAGTTTGGCACCATTCCATAAGCATGCACAATTTTAAAGCGTGACGTGAGTGGCATATCCATTTACTCGGTGCAACACAATATTTTATATTTTACCAAAAATTTGGGTATTATATTGTGTTTGTGTGCTTTAAAATTCCTTAAAGTGTACTTTTCCCCAAAATTTGCGGTCGAAATACCATGTGACATAAAACATTGCAAACCCACCATTTTATTCTATAGATACTCTGCTAAAAATATACAGTGTTTGGGGGTTCCAAGTAATTTTTTTTGTAAAAATATTGATTTTTACTTGTATACAAAAAGTGTCAGAAGAAGGCTTGGTCTTAAAGTGCATTATGCCTGAAGGAAAGAAAAAAAAAGTCTCATATATGTGGTATCTCCATACTCAGGAGGAGGAGTAGAATGTGTTTTGGGGTATAGTTGCAAGTGTGCCTATGTATGTGAGATATAACTTAATATGATGTTTTTGTGGGGGGGGGGAAATTATTAACTTTCTTTATTTTCCAAAGAATTGTAACTTCAAAAAACTCACTATGCCTCTAACTACATACCTTGGAATGTCTACTTTCCAAAAACGGGTCATTTGGGGGGTATTTGTACTGTCCTAGCTTGTGCCTCAAGAAATGAGATAGGCCGTCAGTATATTAGTTGTGATCAGGCGTGATCAATGTTCAATGATTGGTACCATACCTTGTAGACTCTATAACTTTCACACAGGCCAAACAATATAGACTGATTTGTGTTATTCTTAACAAAGCAATGTAGCAGTATAAATTATGATAAAAAATTTATGAAGAAAAATGACTTATTTGCAAAATTTTATAACAGAAATCAAGAAACTTGTCAGCATTTTTTCCATGTATAGTGCAAAAAATAAAAAACCCAGTGGTAATTAAATACCACCAAAGAAAGCTCAATTTGTGTGAAAAATAAAATTATAAAAGTGTCATTTGAGTACATTGTTGCATGACTGAGTAATTGTAATTTAAATTGTGAGAGCGCTGAAAACTGAAAATTGGCCTGGCCAGGAAGGGGGTGAAAACACCCAGTACGAAGGTGGTTAAAAAGTGACAGCTAGTATGGGAAACTTCTCCACATAATGCTTTCAAAGGTGGGGGGCAAACGGGCAGCGGCTGCAGGACAGGGAACATGCTACATGTTCCACCCTAAAAACATGAGGAACATGTAACATGTTTCCAAAGGTGAACTTATCCTCTTATCCTTTAATTGAACAAGCTGAAGTTAGAAGCTAATTGGCTACCATGCACAGCCGCACCAGATTTAGTAAATCAACCACAAAGGCTTATTTCAACTGTGGCACACCTTTTCTAATACAGTGATCATGCAGACAAGGGGTCCCAGATAGGTTAAAACAAACTGGTCAGCTTAGGTCAATTGTACACAGGCATCTGAACCAACACAACATGAATTCAGACTTATTTCCCTTGCTCAGAAAGCCCAAAGACTGCGTACAGCTGCCTATAGACATTAATGGCTGTACACGGCTATATTCAGGTATATGCCATTGCTCCTGTAAACACAAGTATCGTGTACAAGTGTATGCAAACTGTAGAGAAATCGAATACAATCATTGCTAAATGCGATCTGAAATCACTAATGACCCATCTGTCTGGATTCAATGCTTTTTAAATCATTGACTTATAATAACTAACTATGAAGGGAGTAAAGTCAGAACTCCTGGTGTGCGTTCTTTCAGGTCAGTGATTCAGAAAATACTGAAACTTTAAAGTAAGCCAGTCATGAGAGAAACATGGGAGGTTTCCATTTCACTATCTGTAAGCGGATTCTTTCTAATGACCACAAATATATGGAGCATCCTACTGACCATTGCCTTAACCACTTGCCCTCCTGAGGATTTAGAACCCTTCCTGACCAGGCCATTTTTTGCGTTACGGCGTTGCGTTACTTTAACTGACAATTGCGTGGTCATGCAACGCTGCACCCAAATTAAATTTTACGTCCTTTTTTTCCCACAAATTGAGCTTTCTTTTGGTGGTATTTGATCGCTTGCGCATTTTTTATTTTTTGTGCTATATAAAAAAAATTTTTTTTTTGACTTTTTGCTATTAAAGCGGAGCTCCACGCAAAAGGGGAAGTTCTGCTTTAAGAACTGCTCCCCTGCTCCCCATTAAGGATTAGCACCTTGGGGGGCAGAAGGGGAGCGGGTACCTGAATTTGACAGGTACCCGCTCCCACTTCCGGTCCGATCGCCTAAGTGACCGAAAGGTGTCCTGCCTCCCTGTAGTCTTTTGGGACACGTGACAGGTCCCAGAAGACTACAGGACCATTCATAAAGCGCAAGCTATCACAGCCGGGTGCCCACACTGAAGATGCTGGCCTCCTGGAATACAGTACGGCCAGTGAAACGGGCTGCGGGGGACATACCGCGTGACTGAGGGACAGGCAAGTGGCTGTTTTTTTTTTTTTAAAAAGTCAGCAGCTACAGTTTTTGTAGCTGCTGACTTTTATTTTTTGACAGCGAGTGAGTGGAACTCTGCTTTAAACAAAAAAAAAAAAAAAAAATTTAAAAATCCAAAATGTGTCATAAATTTAGGTCAAAATGTATTCTGCGACATGTCTTTGCTAAAAAAAAATCCCAATACGTGTAAATTAATTGGTTTACGTGAACGTTATAGCATTTACAAATGGCGGTATAGAGATACTGGAATTTCGTTTTTTGTGCTGTGCACAGCCATTCAGAGCAGTGTGACCAATCCGACAGGGAGGAGGACTGCTAGTAAACAAAGCAGCCCTCCTTCCCGTTGGAGATCCTCGGTAATGTCCGGGCGCTGGTGAGTAATCACCAGCCGGGACCTGGTGATTGACAGCCGAGGCCGCAAATGGTGGCACAGGTAGGGCGCGCGAGCGTGCCTCCTACCCAGAAATGCAAATTCATATATATATATATATATATATATATATATATATATATATATATATATATATACACACACACACACGTGTTTTGCGCACCCCTGCCGCCCTGTAGCATAGCTGCTATAAGGAGGCGGGGATGTGGTTAATGTACCTCAAGCTGTAGATATTGTAATTGTTAGCAGGGGGTTCCTAAGCCCATTAAGTTAATTCAAAGACTTTTCCATGTTAAAAAGGTTGAGAAAGGCTGCCTTAAACTATAAAAGTTAATTATAAACCAACAATACCAGTTTTATTTCTGGCTTCTGATGTGCCACCCCACAAAGTTCCCATGCAAATAATGGCTTGCTGTGAATAGTTATTTGCATCCCATAACTACCCTTGTTGCAATGATCAAGTCTCTGTGGTTTCTGACTTGTACTTCTGGAAATGTCAGTTGCACTGCCGTCATGCCATCCCTGTTTTATACTGAGTCACTGTCTACAAATAAGCACGCAGTTAAGGACATCTAAGCTTTCTTGGACTTTCTTTATCGGCATACTTGCCCTGAATCAGTGACTCATTTTATGAAGCCAGTGGGTCATGTAATAGAATTTTCAGAAGAAAGCCTATAATCACAATTTACATTTCCTCTCATTACAGGTTTACCTTCAGTATATGCAGTGCAAAATCTGCAAACTGGTTGCTGTTATTCCTTTCATTAAAGGGAATTAAACTGGTTGTAAAGCTTTCAATATACCCAGTGAAGCGACTAGCCTCAAGTGATACATAGAGATGAAACAAATCCACCTACATAAGTTGTACCTGTTTATCTGCAGGCCTCTCTTCCCTACAGCCATTCAAGTGCAGAATTTATACAGCCTGCCTGAGCTTTTAGAAAGCAGAGGGCAGGGAGCTGAAGTTACACTCTGCAGAACTTAGCAAGGAGAGCTGAGAGCCGACTGAAGGGAAGGGTTACACCCCCCTTTCACACAACACACAGGAACATAGCGGAGGCTGTCCATCACAGGCTGTGTGCTGGAGATGCCTCCCAGTCACATTTTTCCTTCTTGGTGTCAGGCAAACCTGTCAGAAGTGACTTATGCAGATAGCTAAGGAACAAGGCAGCAGAGAGAAATCACACTTAGTGTTCTGGATTGAGACAAGTACACGCTATAGAGGGATATGCTGTGTTCATATTTCATGTCTGAGGATTACAACCACTTTAACCACCGACGTCATGAGATACAGTATTTACAGTCTTTTGGAATATATCAGTTTGTGTTTGTATCAAAATCAGTTTAAGTACAACTGTGTTCGACGCGCTCTGATATCCAAGTGGTCTGCACACTCACCGTAATCTGTGTTTAGCAGCAGGATCGAGCTTTCTGACTTCTCCAAATGTAAGGTCCGTTAGCCTGCCGGTACCATCTGTTGTTCTGTCCACAGTGTCATCATGCATGAGAATAGGAATTCCATCTTTAGTGAACTCCAGGTCCAGCTCTACCCCAGTTGCACCATTCCTTGCAGCCTGGAAGAAATAACAGCCCAAGTTTAACATATCGACTGAAAAAGGATTTGTTTTTATAAATTATTTCTACTACATACATAAGAAAAATGGCATGCAACCTATGGTTACAAAAACTGACAGGGCATGTGACCAGAAACTGCTAGCTTGGGAGTCCTGAAGGCAGTAATGTGTGAAGTACATTTGAAACATACATTGTGGCAATTTATGTGTCTATTTCTTTTTTTGTGTCTATTTCTTTTTAAAATGCTAGCCATAACAGTGTTTATAAATCTGCCTCCTGGCACTTTATTAAAGCCACTGGCCTACCCACAGCACATTGTCAGGTCAGTATCTGCCATGAATTGTCAGTAAATGGCTTGCACCTAAGTAGCACATCTATTTTAATTTTACTGAAGTCTCTAAAGATCTACTTTGATCATTATGTTACTGGGTATTGGCAAATGAAAGCAAAGAAGGAAGAACAATTTTGAGGGCCCATTTGGACTATTGGGAGTGCATTATCACAGGTTAATGTGCTGTATTTGCACATTATTTCAGGTACTTATATAGCGCCTTCAATTTACGCAGCAGCTTTACATACTTTACATACATATATAAGGTCATACATTCACATCAGTCCCTAACCCTCAAGGGTTGTTGTTGTACATGTATCCCCCCTAACAGCGCTCAAACTAGCTATATATTCATACATACTAGGGACAACTTAGACAGGATCCAATTCACCTACCAGCATGTCTTTGGAGTGTGGGAGGAAACCTACGCTGGCACAGGGAGAACTGTTTTGAATTTTGAATGGAATGTACAAATTTTTGGTTCGTTGTCCTATTTTTGACAAGGGAGCAAAGCACAACACACGGGTGGTCTATATCACTGTGTTGCGATGCACTAGAACGCATGTGTTCTATGCTTACTAGCTACTCCATACTCTTACTACTCGACCTCTCTACGGCTTTTGATATTGTTGACCATCCCCTCCTCCTCAAAAAACTCCACTCTCATGGCCTCTGAGACGCTGCTCTCTCCTGGTTATCCTCCTACCTATCACAGTGCTCCTTCAGCGTTACCTATAACTCTGTCTCCTCCTCTCCACTCCCTCTTTCTGTAGGGGTCCCTCAAGGTTCTGTCTTTGGACCCTTCTCTTCTCCATCTACACCGCCTCCCATGGTCACTTGATAAACTCCCATGGCTTTAAGTACCATCTCTATGCTGATGACACACAAATCTATCTTTCTACTTCTCACCTTACCCCTTCAGTCTCCTCTTGCATTACTAACCTACTAAGTGACATATCGGCATGGATGTCACTCCACTTCTTCAAACTAAATCTTTCTAAAACTGAGCTCTTAGTATTCCCTCCAGCCCGTGCCTCCTCCCCTGACTTCTCCATCAAGATCAACAATACAACCATCAGTACCTCCCCTCATGCCAGGGTGCTAGGTGTAATTCTAGACTCCCATCTGTCCTTTCAGCCCCAAATCCAATCACTGTCCAAATCTTGTAGACTTCACCTCCACAACATCTCCAAGATACGCCCATTCATAACCTCTGAAACCACTAAGCAACTTATTCAGTCCCTTGTTATCTCTCACCTTGACTATTGTAACTCCCTCCTCATTGGTTAATCCCCTCTTCAGTCTATCATGAATACTGCTGCCAGACTCATCCACCTTACTAACCGTTCCATATCTGCCATAACTCTCTGAAAATCCCTCCACTGGCTTCCCATTGCCTAACGAATAAAATTCAAAACAATACCATAAAAAGCCATTTATAACTCTGCCCCAAATTACATCACCAATCATGTGTCCAAATATCAACTAAACCGTCCTCTCCGCTCCTCTCATGACCACCTGCTCAATAGTCCCTTGTCTCCTCCTCCCAAGCTCATCTCTAGGACTTCTCCAGAGCCTCCCCATCCTCTGGAACTCTAGCACAATCTATCCAACTATCACCTACTCTGCCCACTTTTAGGCGATCTCTGAAAACCTCTCTCTTCAGGGAAACCTATCCAGCCCTCCGCTAATAACCGAATCTTCTATTTCTCCTATCAGTTCATTCCCCACAGTTACCTTTTGTACCACCAGCCCCTCCCTCTTAGATTGTAAGCTCCAAAGAGCAGGGCCCTCCTAACCCTCTTGTATTGAACTGTATCATTGCTGTATTGTCTCCCTTTATATTGTAAAGCGCTGAGCAAACTGTTGGCACTATATAAATCCTATATAACAATACTATAGCGTGAATCCAGTGATAGAACCATTTGAAATTAATGGCAACCGACACACACATACAGCAAAACACACTTGCGCTATAGTGCATTCAACACACGTGAACCATTTGTAGGTTGTGGTCTGCTGGGTTAAATAAAATAGTGAAGATACATTTTTTAATGTGTTGCCAGCCTATTTAAAATGGGATAACTCAATAATTATAGGCATTTTTAAATGGGCTTTATCACTGCCATTTAAGTTCCATTTTTGCACACAGGCGTCTCAGCCCATGCAGTGTACATTCCAGTGTATTTCCCCTAGTGTTGCACCGAAATTAAAATTCTGGTGCCGAAACTGAAAATTCAAAATGCACTTGGCCAAAAACTGAAATGCGCAGTTTTTAAAAATGAATACATTTTTTTTTTGCAAAAAAATACACTGATTAAAAAAAAAAACAATATATACCCAAATTTTCTTGTAAAATATAAAAGAAGATGTTACGGCAAGTAAATAGATACCCAACATGTCACGCTTTAAAATTGTGCACGCTTGTGGAATGGCGTGAAACTGCAGTACTTAAAGATCTCCACGGGTGATGCTTTAAAAGTTTCTACAGGTCAGCAGTGTAAAGTTTTAGAGGTCTAGTGTGAGAATAATTGCTCTTGCTCTGACGTTCGTGGCGATACCTCGCGTATGTGGTTTGAACACCATTTACATATGTGGGCATGGACTACGTATGTATCCATTCACCGCTACGTGCGAGCATGGGGGGACGAGGTCACATTAAGTTTTTTTTAAAAATGTATTTAATTTATTTTTTGCACTGTTCCTTTAAAAAAAAAATTTAATTACTTTTATTCTTATCACAAGAAATGCATGCATCCCTTGTGATAGAAAATAATTAATGACAGGTCCTCTTTATGGAGAGATATGGGGTCAATAAGACCCCACATCTCTCCTCTGCAATGTAAAGCATTGGATCAAAAAAAAAACAAAAAACGTTGATCTAGTGCTTTAATAAAAAAAAAAAAAAAAAAAAAAAAAAAAATGGCCGGAACGGGAAGTGACATTGCTTTGGTCCTCCAAGGACATGGAGATGAGTGGGGCCATCTTACCTTCATTAATCTCTATGCCCAGTGGTGGGATCAATGGTTTCTCAGGTAAGGCTGAGAACTATCGAGCGGCAGCCGGTGGTGGCAGCGATGACAGCGAACGGGCAGGGTTTTTTCGGCACCTGTACTTTTTTTCATTTCGGCCTACGGCCGAAAAGGGGTATTTTTGGATGAAACGTTTCGGCCACCAAAATTTCAGTGCATCCCTAATTTCCCCTGCCCAAAAAAAGTCCAGGAGCTGTGTACAGCATATGCCTGTATTCTATACCAAAGTACAGCCATTCATGCCTACGAGTGGCTATACACAGCACCTGGATTTCCTACTTGAAGGAAAGAATCTGGACTTTATATTGCACAGACTCAGACACCAATGTGCAAGAGACCTTAAAGCATATGTTAACCCTTTAGTTTAAAATAGAAACGAAAGGCAAAACATTTGTGTATAGATATTTAAAAAAAACAACAACTTATAAATACCTTTTTCATAAGTGATCACAATCTCTGTTCTCAGCTGCATAAGGAGCTCAGGAGAAATAGCAGCACACCGATCTTCCTAGTGAATGGCTGTGCAGGGATGAGGGAGGGGGGCATGTCAGCACAAGTCTGACCATTGAAGAGCAGGATAAGTTCCCAGCACATATTGAAAAGTGAACATTCTGTGCTCTCATGGATAGTGTGGTCAGTTTTTAATAGGAAAGCAGAGGGACTGGCAGGATCACCAGGGATTTCACACAAAGGAAGCAATACAAAGGGAACAGGATAGTTTTTCATACAAATACATGGTTCAGCAGGCACATATCAGGAATATGAAATGTTGGGGTAACATATTCTTTAATCGACAATGACTGATTCACCAGCAATTAAAAAGAACTTCCCTCCTCCCCCGTGATTTTTTTTATCCTCTATTGCTTAGTTTCTTGGGTTATATAAAATATGTGAGTATAACCTGCGCAGAGGACTGATAATTAGACTGGCTGCTGCTAGCAAAATCACAAATGTGTACCGGTGAACAAATGTGTGAGTGCAAATATAAAATTGCTGCACTGTCTCTTCCAAAACCTACTTTAAATAATTAAATTAATGAACTCCCTACTATACAAAGGGTCCCCACAAATGTGCATGTGCTATAATGCCCCATGGGCTGGCAATTATATCCCTCCTCCCCAGTGACTAAATCCGAAATAAACCAATAAGTACAAGGTGCTTAAAAGACAATAGTGCTAAAAATAGCACATATACAATGCCATGAAACTGTGTATACAGTGAAATTGTATAAAACAATATATATATATATTAAGTCCCAATAATTGTGCAAACATATAAAAGTTCCAAAAAAAAAAACCCCCAAAGAAACCCCCATCCGTTGTGAATAATAAGTAATACAGTAGTAAATCCTCTTATCCATAGCAATTCTCTGTGCATAGTGCTCCAATTAGTGCTCCCCCTCCAGAGCCCCACTCACCACAGATAATTGACCACCTGGAATGGTAGGTCAAATATCGCATGAGATGTTGCAGCGCTCTCCTGCACGAACGTTGGCAGTCTGTGTGGTCTTGACACCTCTATGGAGTCTGTCATCAGCATATAGAGGCGTCAAGACCACACAGATGGACAACTTTCCTGCAGGAAAGCGCTGCAACATCTCATGCGATATATGAAATTCCATTCTAGGTGGTCAATTATCTGTGGTGAGGGGGAGCAATAATTGGAGCACTACGCACAGAGAATTGCTATGGATAAGAAGATTTACTACTGTATCACTTAATATTCACACCGGATGCGGATGGGCATTTCTTTGGGGTTTTGTTTTGGAACTTCCAATTTTTTTGGAACTTTTATATACCATATTTTTCACTCCATAAGACACACTTTTTTTCCCCAAAAAAGGGAGGAAAATGTCAGTGCGTCTTATGGAGCGAATATAAAGCGGCCGGTCCGGTATTTCTGCCGCCACCATGTCAGAATATCGGGCCGGCCGCTCAGCTCTTCTCTCCTGCATGACCTTACCTGTTCCTCGCTCCAGCGCTGTACAGTCTTCCTGCGCTGGCTTCTGTGACAGCCGGGTGCCCACTGCGCATGCGTGAGAAGCGCTGCGCTTTGTGAATGGTCCGGCATCTTCTGGGACACATGACAGGTCCCAGAAGGCTCCGGGCCATTCACAAAGCGCAGCGCTTCTCGCGCATGCGCAGTGGGCACCCGGCTGTCGCAGAAGACAGCGCAGGAAGACTGTACAGTGCTGGAGCGAGGAACAGGCAAGGTCATGCAGGAGAGAAGAGCTGAGCGGCCAGCCAGATATTCTGACATGGTGGCGGCAGAAATACCGGACCGGCCGCTTTATATTCGCTCCATAAGACGCACTGACATTTTCCTCCCTTTTTTGGGGAAAAAAAAGTGCACTGTGTCCGCAGTCTCTGGTCATCCCTTGCACTGTGTCCGCTGTCTCTGGTCATCTCCTGTACTGTCCGCAGTCTCTTGGTCATCTCCTGTACTGTGTCCGCAGTCTCTGGTCATCTCCTGCACTGTAAAATAATGTGTCGAGCCAGCAAGTAGACTCTCCTTATAAATACACTCTATTAATGGATCGCAAACCTATAGTACATAACTACCAATGTGATGACCGCAAAAATAAAATATATAGTGTTGCATCTCCAAACTGTAATATATGTCCGCAGTCTCTAATTAAGAATGATGTCATCTCCTTTGTTAATACTGTGCATGTAAACTGCAGTCTAACAAAAAATTGGATCATGTCCCAAAAAAGTGACTTTGTGCTGGAAAATCTTCGCAATAATTGGTCTCTTGTGTCATCTCCCTCAAGTGAAGATGTGTCCGCAGTCTCTTGTGGTCATCTCCTGTACTGTGTCCGCAGTCTCTTTAGGTCATCTCCTGTACTGTGTCCGCAGTCTCTTTTTTTCATCTCCTGTACGATTCACCACATGTGTCCGCAGTCTCTTGGTCAAAATCACTCACTGTGTGCGGATAGTGGTAGTACAAATACAATCCAAGACCGCCGCTGATTGTCGGAGCTGTGTGCTCGTGGTCGGTCAGTCTGTTTGCCGGATATGTGAGTGCCATATTTTGTGTCACACTTATATAAAAGATAAAGCACCATGTCGAGATCTTTTTTGTATGGGTCATGAAAAAATAGACGAATTGCACCCGCTGGAGAGGAGATTCATCCTGCATGTTGCCGCAGTCTCTTCTAAACAAGGTCATCCACAAGTTTATATAGCCTAATTGCAGGCTTCTTATGAGTGAGCCGCAGTCTTCACTTGGTCATCCCCTGCAGTCACTGTGTTTTCCGCACAAAGTCTCTTTTTTGGTTATTTTTATCTTTATTTTTATTTTTTATTATTTTCTTTTTATTTTTATATTTTATTTTTTGTTATTTATTTGCAGTTTATTTTTTCATGCACATTAATTATTTGTATTAATTCAAAGTATAAGAATTAGTATATAAGTTTATTCGTCACATCATTCTTAATTACTGAAATCTTTAAAATAGAGTCTTCTGGTCATCCCCTGCACTGTGTCCGCAGTCTCTGGTCATCCCCTGCACTGTGTCCGCAGTCTCTGGTCATCCCCTGCACTGTGTCCGCAGTCTCTGGTCATCCCCTGCACTGTGTCCGCAGTCTCTGGTCATCCCCTGCACTGTGTCCGCAGTCTCTGGTCATCCCCTGCACTGTGTCCGCAGTCTCTGGTCATCCCCTGCACTGTGTCCGCAGTCTCTGGTCATCCCCTGCACTGTGTCCGCAGTCTCTGGTCATCCCCTGCACTGTGTCCGCAGTCTCTGGTCATCCCCTGCACTGTGTCCGCAGTCTCTGGTCATCCCCTGCACTGTGTCCGCAGTCTCTGGTCATCCCCTGCACTGTGTCCGCAGTCTCTGGTCATCCCCTGCACTGTGTCCGCAGTCTCTGGTCATCCCCTGCACTGTGTCCGCAGTCTCTGGTCATCCCCTGCACTGTGTCCGCAGTCTCTGGTCGTCTCCTGTACTGTGTCCGCAGTCTCTGGTCGTCTCCTGTACTGTGTCTGCAGTCCACTGGTTCAGAATATTTTTTTTCTTGTTTTTCTCCTCTAAAACCTAGGAGCGTCTTATGGTCAGGTGCGTCTTATGGAGCGAAAAATACCGTATTTGCACAATTATTGGGACTTACATGTGTTTATTCCTTTCATTGGCTCGAATAAATTAAATTAATTTCTGGCCAATCAAATGAGCAAATGCCCAAGTGCTTGACACTCTGAATTGTGTTTGCAAAAATGCAGCTCAGGGGTGTTTTTTAGGTTGCCTTTCTCCTGTCGGGAAAAAAGAATTTAGAAGAGCCTCAGTGTACACGGGGCCTAAAATATACATGGAGATGTGCATACGCAGCTCTGTTTACATTCCAGCACAGTGCCTGTGTGCAGTGCAGGGATAACTGAACTCATGCATGATGTTATCCCATGTCGGCCAACCCAGATGGCTGTAAACTGGCACACGGAAGAAGCCAAAGACAATATGCTGGTGCTGGACCACTGAAGGGTAAGTACTGTCAACTTTAGTTCCACTCTAAACAAGAATTTTACCCATAACAACTTGATAAAAAAAATGTTCTTTAGCAAGGAACATAAAAACACATTGATAATTATACTACCAAAATTAGTGTGTGCTGTAAATTGCCTCTAGTATTGTTCCTGTTTCTTCTGCCTGGAGACTGCCATTTTGCTGATGCCCAGAGCCCCTGAGCAGCAGTAAATATTTAGGCTGTCAGCAGATTGGCCTCTACAAAATCAGTAAAGAGCAAAAAAAAGAGCAACTGAGCATGTGCAGAGCAGGATGAAACAGAGTATTATTGGATTTTAAAAGGCAGTTATTTTTAATGTCTTACATAGCTATACCTTCAATAGGGGGCCAGCCTGAAGTGAACTAGCAGGACTTCATTTTCTGACTAAAGTTCCACTTTAAGAGGCGAGGAAGGTAAGGGCTGGTTAACAGGGGGGGGCACTTCAGGCTGCTTTCACACTGGTCCAGTTTTCTTCTGTTAGTGTGTTACAAAATGACTATTCAGTTCTTTGGAACTCTTCAGACTTGTCAGTTGCATTTTTCAAATGCAGCTGCTTGCTACATTTTTGGTGCAGTAAACAAATGCATTTAAAAAAAAAAAAAAAAAAAAAAAAAAAACGCACTCACAGTTGCATGGTTTCTTTTTTTTTACTGCACATGCATTTTTGCAACAAAACACTGTGAAGTAGCCTAAGGGCCCTATACAGGTCTGTGTTTTCCTGGCATGGGGGTAGGGCTGTATCTGCCACGAAGCAAACAAGGCGTTTGCCTAGGGCAGCACGCCCCCCGGGCAAAACGGACACTGTGTGTGTCAGCGGCAGAGCTGCCATGGGTAAGGGTACAGCCAAGCCAACACACATAAGGAGGGTCACCCGGGCCAAGGGACCGGCTGCAGAGGAGAGAAGAGTGGTGGGCGGATCCCCAGTGTGTGCTCAGAGCGCGTGAGGGCCGGGGCCCGTGCGCTGCGATGTGCAGGGTGGCCAGAAGGTGCCAGCCGAAGGGGAAGAAAAGTACGAGGTCAGGGTGGAGGAGCTCTTTTGCATCTGCCGCCGGAGATCCAGGGGGAGATGGGACAGGCACCCTTCCTGAAATAATCCTGACACCTTTTGGAGGAGCCCCTGCTGGAAAGGTAAGAGCTTGGAGGACCGGTGCTTCCCCACTCCTGTCTCACTGTCCCCCTGACACACTGCCCCTCACCTGTCCCACTTCCCTCCCCCGTACCATTGCCCCCTCTCCGTCACACTGCCCCCACCTGTTCCACTTCCCCCCTCCTCTCCATTGTCCCATTACCCCCCATCTGTCCCCACTGCCCCTCACCTGTCCCCCATTACCTGTCTCTCTGCCCCCCCACCCATCACGCTGCCCCCTATCATGCTGCCCTCCCCGTCACGCTGCCTTCCTCTTGTGCCCGATTTTAGTCTTGCCTAGGGCAGCACAAAAACAAAATACACTACTGCATGGGGGTGCACAGGTGTTGTGTGTACCGAGGTGTTGGGGTTCCAATAATTTGTAATAGGACCTGCGGCCACACAAACACAGCCGCTGTGTTTCGAATAAGATATGTGGGTGAGGGCAGATCCCTGAACCCACATTGTATGCGTTTGGGAACCTGCACTCACCCACGTCATATTAGGAAGACAGTGGCTGTGTTTGTGAGGCCACATATCCCAGTAGAAATGAATGGAACCAAAGTACAGCTCCCTGTGTGAATGAGCCCTAAATGACAGCGTTGGCTTCCAGCAATGGGGCGCAGAGCCATCCATGGGGCTAAATGTCCAAAGTGCAAGGCAGCCTAATTTTGCACTCTCCGGTTTTAGCAAATAAACCCCAATGAATGGCAGTATACAGCTAAAAGAGGGGTTGGGTCAGCATGTATAAAAAAAAAAAGCATGAAATCTTGTAGCCATGGACACAGACAGGCATGAGGAAAGTCACCTTCATATATACGTCCTACACAATGTGAATGGGCCCTCAGTATTGCCTGGGCCCCTCCAAGGCTCTGTCAGTTCTCCGCTCCCATTATATCATCCCATAGTACAGAACAGACACACAGGGTTCATTCACGTACTGACCAGACGAATGGCAGCCAAGGTGTTCTCAGGGCCGTCATGGGCTCCTCCTCTGTGGGCGATGACTGACACCTTCCCCCCGGGTCGGAGCACATGGGAAGCCCGGGACTCGGGCACTGGGGGGAAGCGGGAGAAGAGCAGGAGGAGGTAGAGCCCGCTGAGGAGGAGACAGGAGAGGAGAGGACTGCGGGTGAGCAGCAAGGAGAGCACGAAGAGACCCGAGAAGGACAGCAACAGGCCCTCACCCCACAGCATGGCTCAACCGGGCCCTAGTCTGCCCTGTACTACCCCCCCCCCCCGAGCACAGGCCGGCCCTAGTCCGTGCTATACTGCCCCCCACAGGCCTCCCTCTATTGCCCCCGGACACAGGCCGGCCCTAGTCCGTACTATACTGCCCCCTGGACACAGGCCGGCCCTAGTCCGTGCTATACTGCCCTTTACAGGCCTCCCTCTACTGTCCCCCGGACACAGGCCGCCCTGTACTGCCTGCTCTTCCCTGTCCTGTGATGGGAGTGAGGCGGGGAGAGGACGGTGATGTCACTGCAGGCAGAGCTGGTGTATAGAGAGCTGTGTACATGTGTGTGTCATGGCAGGTGGAGGGAGCACACACATCATTCCAGGACAGAGGAGAGCCCAGCACAGGTCACAGCGGCCTATCCAACCAATGGTGGCCACACACACTTCAATAAACCATCAATTTCTTTTCCAATTGATTCTTCCAGACAGGCATAAGCAATGAATAGCTGATAACCCATTTGATTGATATACCACTGAATTTTTAGGGCAGCTTCAGTCACACTGCCCGCTGCACTTTGGGCAAAACGCAGCTAATCTTGCAGTTTTTGCGCTACACGCTATAAGAAAGTCAGGCGATAGTTTCCCTACAAGGAACGATCGTAATTTTCGTATAGCACGTACACAACTTTCAACAGCCAATCAAGACCTTCCAAAGGAAAATTTCTGAAAGGACAAACCCCAAAGTGTTTCTTGTACGTGATCTGAACTAACGATTTTCATTTAACGTGTACTGTTCTTGTACTAGAGAAATAGAAGAGGAAAGACTGCGCATGATCAGAAACAATAAACAATAATAATCTACGTATTACGTTTCTACATCAAACAATTCTACGTCGTTCAAGAATTTTCGTACAATTCTTACCAACCTCGGGTACAACATGATGTGAACAGTCGAAAACTGAACGATTGCTCGTCCAATTTTCTTATAGTGTGTACCCTTCTTTAGGCTTCTATTATGTCCCACAATTATGGTGCGCTTTCAGAAAGTGCGCCAAAACCGCAGAGCTTCCTTAACCCCTTCACGCCTAAGGGTAAAACAAATCTTAACGCCTAAGTATAATTTTACAACTTTGACATGTGTTAGTAAAACTGTACATATCATCACAACTACTTTGTGCATCCAGCTCGATTATACCTTGTTTTTTTTTCACGACAAATTCGGCTTTTATTTGATGGTAAATGGTAATGAATATCTCCAGACTTTTTTTTTTTTTTTTTTTAACCACTTGCCGCCCTGCCACTGCATATATACGTGTGCAGGGCGGCAGTGGAGCGCAAAAGCATGTTTTAAAAACGGGCTCCGCGCTCCCGACACTTTCTCGGGTAGGGGGGCGCGCGCGCGCTCCCGCCGACCCGCGGGTGGCACCATTCAATCCAGGAGGGATCAATCATTAGATTTCAACCAGTGATTTCTGGCTGAAATCGGATGATCGGTCCCTGTCCTATCCTGTCCTGTGTTGACATTTACACAGGGCAGGATATGATGTAATTCTTCTCTGCCTGGACACTTTCCAGACAGAGAAGAAGAAACATTTAAACGTGAGTAAAACACTACACACTGACAGAACACTCTAGAGGACACATTTAACCTCTTAATTACCCCCCCCCCCCCGTTAACCCCTTCACTGCCCTGTCACCAGTGTCACTGATCAGTGAAGCGATTTTTACTGATCACTGTATCAGTGTCGCTGGCGACTTCCGATAGTGTTAGCGCCCCTCCCAGATAGCGCCAGATTGCCCGTTAATACACCAGTAGTCTCGTCTAACCCCTTGATGGCCCCCCCCCCCCCCCCTGAGTTGACCCCTTCACTGCCCTGTCACCAGTGTCACTGATCAGTGAACCAATTTTTACTGATCACTGTATCAGTGTCTCCGGCGACTTCCGATAGTGTTAGCGCCCCTCCCAGATAGCGCCAGATTGCCCGCCAGTACACCAGTAATCCCGTTTAACCCCTTAATCTCCCCCCCCCGTTAACCCCTTCACTGCCCTGTCACCAGTGTCACTGATCAGTGAACCGATTTTTACTGATCACTGTATCAGTGTCGCCGGCGACTTCCGATAGTGTTAGCGCCCCTCCCAGATAGCACCAGATTGCCTGCTATTACACCAGTAATCCCATTTACCCCTTAATCTCCCCCCCCCAGTTAACCCCTTCACTGCCCTGTCACCAGTGTCACTGATCAGTGAACCGATTTTTACTGATCACTGTATCAGTGTCGCTGGCGACTTCTGATAGTGTTAGCGCCCCTCCCAGATAGCGCCAGATTGCCCGCTAATACACCAATAATCCCTTCTAACCCCTTAATCTCCCCCCCCCCCCAGTTAACCCCTTCACTGCCCTGTCACCAGTGTCACTGATCAGTGAACCGATTTTTACTGATCACTGTATCAGTGTCGCTGGCGACTTCCGATAGTGTTAGCGCCCCTCCCAGATAGCGCCAGTTTGCCCGCTAGTGCACCAGAAATCCCATTTAACCCCTTGATCACCCCCCTCCCCCCCCAGTTAACCCCTTCACTGCCCTTTCACCAGTGTCATTGATTACAGTGAACAGATTTTTACTGATCACTGTATTAGTGTCACTGGTGACTTCCGATAGTGTTAGCGCCCCTCCCAGATAGCGCCAGATTGCCCGCCAGTACACCAGTAATCCCGTTTAACCCCTTAATCTCCTCCCCCGTTAACCCCTTCACTGCCCTGTCACCAGTGTCACTGATCAGTGAACCGATTTTTACTGATCACTGTATCAGTGTCGCCGGCGACTTCCGATAGTGTTAGCGCCCCTCCCAGATAGCACCAGATTGCCTGCTATTACACCAGTAATCCCATTTACCCCTTAATCTCCCCCCCCCAGTTAACCCCTTCACTGCCCTGTCACCAGTGTCACTGATCAGTGAACCGATTTTTACTGATCACTGTATCAGTGTCGCTGGCGACTTCTGATAGTGTTAGCGCCCCTCCCAGATAGCACCAGATTGCCCGCTAATACACCAATAATCCCTTCTAACCCCTTAATCTCCCCCCCCCCAGTTAACCCCTTCACTGCCCTGTCACCAGTGTCACTGATCAGTGAACCGATTTTTACTGATCACTGTATCAGTGTCGCTGGCGACTTCCGATAGTGTTAGCGCCCCTCCCAGATAGCGCCAGTTTGCCCGCTAGTGCACCAGAAATCCCATTTAACCCCTTGATCACCCCCTCCCCCCCCAGTTAACCCCTTCACTGCCCTTTCACCAGTGTCATTGATTACAGTGAACAGATTTTTACTGATCACTGTATTAGTGTCACTGGTGACTTCCGATAGTGTTAGCGCCCCTCCCAGATAGCGCCAGTTTGCCCGCTAATGGACGGGATTTTTTTTTTTTTCCTACCAAAAACATGTAGCAGAATACATTTTGGCTTAAATTTCTGACTAACTTTGAGTTTACGATATATTTTTTATAGCTGAAAGTAGAAAATATTGTTTTTTTCAAAATTTTCGTGTTTTTTTTTATTATAGCGCAAAAAATAAAAAGCGTGCACAGGTGATCAAATACCACAAAAAAAAAGCTATATTTGTGTGAAAAAAAAACGTAAATTTCGTTTGGGTACAGCATTGCATGACCGCGCAATTATCATTTGAATTAGTGCAGCACTGTATAACAAAAAAAGCCATAAATTACAGTACCTATACCATAGTTTGTAGACGCTATAACTTTCACACGAAGCAATCAATATACACTTATTGGGATTTTTTTTTACCAAAAACATGTAGCAGAATACATTTTGGCTTAAATTTATGACTAACTTTGAGTTTACGATATATTTTTTATAGCTGAAAGTAGAAAATATTGGGTTTTTTCAAAATTTTCGTGGTTTTTTTTTTGTTTATAGCGCAAAAAATAAAAAGCGTACAGGTAATCAAATACCACCAAAAGAAAGCTCTATTTGTGTGAAAAAAAGGACGTAAATTTCGTTTGGGTACAGCATTGCATGACCGCACAATTATCATTTGAATTAGTGCAGCGCCAAACAGCAAAAAAAGGCCCTGGTCATTAAGGGGGGTAAATCCTCAGGTGCTCAAGTGGTTAACAACAAGGAAAACTGACTCAAAATAGTTAAAAAAAATTTTTTTTTTTAATTTTGCTGTATATTTCTTGCTACTACCATAACCACTGCGCAAAGAACAACCCAAAATAATTTATCCTGCTCCTGATGATCGCAGCGATACCACATGTGTGTATGTTAGTTGTTGTTTGTACCTGTAGTACGGCCCCGAAACAATAGTGTGCATTTTGCTTTTTTTTTTTTTTCCTGATACAAATTTAAACATTTAAAAAAAAATCCTGACCAAAAAAATAAAATACTGACCTTGACCCAAACACTAACCCTGGCACTGACCTAGATCAAGCCTTGATCTAGGTATTTATTTTTATATATATATATATATATATATATATATGTGTGTTTGTTATTATTATTTTTTTTATTTATTTTTTAACACACTTTTTTTTCTCAGAAAAGGACAGAGAGAGATACGATGTATCTCTCCTCCATTCAGGGAGAGAAAACAAAGGGGGGACGAGCTTCACAGTGACTGATCACTGTGATAACCAATCAGAGGCTATCACAGCGATCATGTGACCCAGAATCGAGAGTTCCAGGTCCTGATTGCTAGAATGGGACCTGGGGCTCTTACTGACACCCCGGTCTTTGTGTTGGGAGCATGCAGTGCGGTGTGCTCCCAACACAAAGGTACACAAATCTAGCAGCACCACAGATAAAAGCCCAGTTCTGTGAGGCCACTAATTTTCGTACGATCAGCGTCAAAGGGTTAAAGTGCTTCTAAAGGCAGGTAAGTACGAGTGGCATTCATGTCACACCAGGGACTTTTGAGTTTATATAATAAAAGAACACATTTCACGGAGTAAAAACTTTAACCCAAACCCACCATTTAGGCTCCATGCACACTGGCGGTTT